AGTAATACAATACGTAAGGATATGAAAATAATACAATAGCTAAATGTGCAAAGAATAGCTGAAACATGGAAATGTGAAGCACAGTCCAGTTAAAAACAAAGGAGCACCAGTATAGGAAGCAGGTGGATATGAGCTCTGTAAAGTTGTTGGTGTTACACAGGTCTCCACATGTGCCACTAAAGGCTATCAGCTGTCATATAAATTATAGGTAGTATAGTGGTTCAAGATCACAGTGAGAGATTAGTGTCAAAGGCCCATTGCTATTTCTGCAGCAGGGGTCCCTGTCTGCAGGTCCTAGAGCTACCTGATCAGGATGAAAATGGAGCTTTTTAGCCACTGAGATCTCACCCTTTGTGCTCATTGGAGCCAATCAGAACGACAACAGGTGTATCAGCCACTAAGGACTGGCTCCTGGGGTCACTCTAAATAAGGGACACAGGAAAAGCACTAAGGAAGAATTGTTCTATATGCTCCAAACCTTTAGGAATTCTGAAAACACAAGGTGTTTCAGTTTCAAGGGAAAGAGGTGCAAGCTCTGTTACATACAAGGAAAGCACAGATTACATCGCTCCAAGAAAAGATACTGGAGAACTCAGAATCATTTGCCCAGGCGCATGCACAGAAATTAGTAGATCTAGCAGAAAGGGAACACATGGGCATCTGCATTGATCATTGCAATGCACCCCTAGTTATAATCTTAGATGGGGTGTGCCTGTGAGGGGGGGCATGGCTGTGACTATCATGAAGGGACCTTGCACTTCTGAATTTGCCACTGCCCTACTGTCTATAACAAAATGGGAAAGGGCTGCAGCCAAGCACTAGAGCATCTCCTTTGCATGCAGAAGCTCCCAAGTTCAATCACGGGTGTCTCTAAGCAGCATTGTTTCCATTCTGCCCCAGTTCATCTTCTTGCAAAACTTTCATTATTCGCCTTGCTTCCTTCTGTGATGAAATGATGTGCATTATATAATTTACATTGTTGTTTAATTATCCTACCCTATTCATTTCAACAGAAAGGAAATTCGATGCAAATGTTGGGGGGTCAATTAAGTATAATTTGCAGACTGAAAACAACAACAACAACAACAACAACAACGAATACTGATTGTATTCACTGGATTGAGTTTTCAGACATGGAACAAATAAGTGAATATTGGCATTTTCTACTCCTATTTCCATTTTCATCAAAGTTCTCCAACATCTCTACTATTAATAAAAATTATTTTTCTTTTAAAAAAGCAAATAATTAATTCAGTGTGATCCAGCTGAAGCTAAGCCCTTGTTTAACTCTTTGACAAATTTGTTTGGTTCACAATTTAAAGTAAACCTAATTGATTCACACTTTGCAGATCTGTGTGTAAATCAAAATAGTGGCTAGCCTTCAAAATTCATATTTCCCAACCAACCAACCCCCCCCAAAAAGCTCAACTTTGCCTGATCCTCCCCCTCAAAACTCAATCCAATGGGTAGATCACTGCCAGTTTATTTATAGTGGAGTAAATCGCAGTTTCCTGGAAGTTGGACACCCATATATTAGTGGAAAGTGTGCAATATATATGTGTGTGTGTGTGGAAATTTATCAGTGGCAATTACACACCCAAATGCATCATATTGTCTAAAATTGCTTTCAAAAACTGGTTATTAGGAGGAATGCACACAAAAATGTTAATGGTTTTTCGTGAAGATCAGAGACAGTTGTGGAAATATGGCAAACTGAAGATTGGGGAAATGAGAAACAAAGGGTCATCAGAACTGACAGATTTGTTCCTCTAGACACTTTGATTGAAACGGAATGAGCTTAACTTTGTCCAGACTTCACTGAGAACATTGCTTTACTATTTGCAGTGGCAATAATGTGTTAGCCATTATCACTCTCATCTGATAACAGAAGTGATTTCTTTATCATTCTCGTCATTACTATGTATCTTTTTGCCTATGAATATGATCACGTTCTTGACATCCAGCTGTTGCTGTTGTTTCTTAAACCAGATCAACACAGCCTAGTTTCCAATCTGTGGGGCAATTTGGTGGACTCTTTGATGCATATTCCCACACCATGCAACGTAGTTACAAAGCAATGTAATGTAGCCAACCCCTTTAAAGTGCTGCTCAGTGCCTATGATGCTGATGCTGATGCTTTTTAACTGTAATACATGTTTGTTTCATTGGGCACACATTTGGCTAAACATCAGGAACTTGCTTTCATGTGCAACCCCCACCTTCATACTTTGCTTCGTGAACCTTCACACTTTTCATACACTGAACTTTTTTAAAATGCTGTATATGAGGTGGGGGTTTTAACCTTACTCCTTTCTGATGTAAGCAGAAGAAGTAGAATCAGATCCAGCAAAATAAGGGACAGAACATCTAAATTACTAGCAAGTTTCCTTCCCTATAAGAATGGATGGGTGAATCTATTTCCTGTCCATTTCAGTTCCCCATTAGTTCATTCAGAAATCCACTCCATCCCATTTTCACATCATTCTGTTAATTAAAATCTCACAGTTCAACCACGTACTGTGTGAAGAAGTCATTGAGTTTTGTTGGATAGCCCCATGTTCCACTATTATGAGAGAGGAAGAAGTTATGAATGACAGGGAGAAGTGGATTGGGATAGGTTTTTATCCTTATCCATTTTCTCTACATCGTGTGCAATGTTATAAATGTGCATTTTGTTCTCCTAAACTAGAAAGTCTCAAATGTTGTAACCTTATAGGTTCTGTATGCTTCTGTTTATACAAGAGATTATACATGTGGAAGCAAAGCTTGTTTTCTCATTCAGTTCTCCAGTACAAGTGTGGAAAATGAGCCTCTTCCATAAGTGGATCATGACTTTCAAATGTGGTAGACCACTTTTTGGATACAAGCGAGAACATTTTGCTTGTTTGTTTTGCAGAGGCTGAATTGTTTACCAGACATGAATCCATTAATAAAGCCTGATGCCACACATCCTGAGACACACAATGTCTCCTGAAACTCTAAAAAAACAACCCAAACCGAAGCAAAATACACTTTTTGGATATGAAACAAACAAAAACAAATGGGGATTGGGGTAGCTCATAAAATGGTGACAATGTGGCTTGGATTTGTGATGCAGATATTGCAATGGTCACAACAAACAACAGAAAATCCACACTTTATTGCTATATTCAGTGATATCTTTTATGTTTGGGGGGGGTTATGACAAGAAGTCTATTTGGAAGGAACTGTAGATTGGGGTGGACAGACTTGAAGTCTGCAGGATTTATTTTGTTGTTTCCCTAGAACCCTGAGAGCATCAGCTGGAGCTAGGATGTCAGAGAATTTTCACAAAAATGGAAACGGGAGTGGAAATTGCTAAGTTTTGCTTATTTCTGGAATGAAAATCAATCCACTAAATAGAATTGGTAGTCACTGTTGTTGCCACTTTCAGTCAACTCAAAAATGATATTGTAGAGTTGGAAAGAGTTCAAAAAAGGGCAACCAAAATGATGAAAATGGTGGAGCAGCTCTCCTATGAAGAAGGGTTGCAGCATCTGGGACTGCCTAGTTCAGAGAAAACACAAGTAAGAGGCAACGTAACTGAAGTTTATTAAATTATGCATGGCATGGAGAAAGTGGATCGAGAAAAGTTTTGCTCTCTCTTTCGTAACACTAGAACTCATGGACATCCAATGAAGCTGAATGTTGGAAGATTCAGAACAGATAAAAGCAACTCATTCACACAGTGTACAGTCGAACTACTCATTCCCCGCACCCCACACCTCCTGGGCCCACAAGTCAGCATCGGTTCATTCTGATTTAGAGTAAATTAAAGAAAAACATTGTCTCACCTTCTGAAATATGATTTACTAGGTGGGAAGCTGGCAGGTTAAAATGTCTAGCTGGAAACAGAAGGAATTTGAAGCCAATGGAAACCTGAGTGTTTCTCATCAGAGCTCCATGCTTGGAAATCAGGGAGGGAGCCTGGCTTAATTCTAGAAGCCCAAGTGTTGATCTGGTCTAGAAGGGCTCTTCTTATGTTCTTATGCTCTGATGCGTCTCTGCTTATGTTCTTATGGAAAACCTTATGGTGACTGTGGCCACCGGCATACCGGTATTTGTGCTTAAGCCAATCAATTCAAACACAAGCCTTTGAAGATATTTCTGTTATACAGAAACTCCTGAGGATGGTGTTATTCAAAACATGTTGGGCCTAATAAATAATATTTTAAGCACCTCCTGCCTTCTGTATGAATTAGGTGCATAATTGTTCATTAAACTCTGCAGTACACCGATTCTCAATAACTGAAGATAAAAGGTTGAAACACCCAGCTGTTTAATCCACCAGATGTCATCCTAATAATCTCTTGGAGGCCATAGTTTTCAACAAAAAGAGCTACTAGGAACCACACACTAGGAACATGATATGTTAAATATTTTTTTCGCACAGCAATGTTCTGTCAATGATTGTGGTAAGCTAGGGGACAATTATAGCATTATGCACAGTTAATCTCACACATAAGTAGGTGAACACCATGTGCAGAATAAATACATGCAAGCACTTAGATGGGAAGCCATGTTTCACACATACAGAGCCAGGTATTATTTTTAAGGCCTGTTGGTAAATCATCACAACTGAAATGAATACTTCACACTCCAAATACACAGTTCTTAACAAATTCATATTAGCGGAAGAGATCCCTGTCCCAATGAAATCACAAACTAAATTTAGGCTAGTGGAGGAAGGGGAGAAAATGATGCACACAAGCAAACAGTTACCTCTATTCAGGCAGCATTCAGTTTTGGATTGGACAGGTCAGATTTCAGTACTCAGATTTCAGTTTTCTGGTTTTACCAGGTCAACAGAAGCTTGAGCTGGAGACTCTTCCTGTGGCTCCAGCTCAAAACCCCACTGATGCCCCAAGTCTAGAAGGGTTGGAGGTTGCTCATATAGACTGCATTGCTGATGCCAATATTTTTTGCATGGGGAAATTTAAATCTATCTATCTATATATATATATATATATATATATACTTACTGTGGCTGTGCCTGACACAGTTTGTGCATTTGTGTCACTTGTGTTTGGTTCAGAGTGCGTCTGCGCAGGTGGGTACATATTTAATGTGTGCTCTGGAACTGTGGTTTGGCCTGTGTAGTCGGGAGTCGGATGAGGGTGGGGTGCGGTGTACTCTGCGGGGATGCCGTTCTGAGGAGGAGCAAACTGAGCCGAGGCGTAAGGCTGTGCCATTGTGTCAGGAGGTGCTGTGGCTTCCTGATTACCCTGCAAAGGGGAAAGAGAAAAACAAACAAAGAGAAGGTAGGTAAGATTATTAAGCTTGCCCTGCAGTTCGTTCCTGAACTGTTGCAGATCTTCAGTCCTCCCCCTTTGGTGATATTGCCTTCCCAGTTTCTCCAGCCGAGAAGTATGGGCACAACTACAGGTTGGGTTTTAACCACCGCAAAAATCTTCCTACTCAGTTCCTGTTTGCACTGGCTTGGCCTCTCTTATATGAACCCCCACTCCCTGAAAAAGGTATGCCCACATTTCACTGGACCCCACGATTGCATAAGCATCCTTCCTTCTGTTCTGAACAGAGAAAAGGCACAAAGGGTGGATCAGCAGCTGCTGGAGCCTGCTGGATCAGGTCAATCATCCATCCAGTCCAGTATCCTGTTCTTACAGATGACCCCATGGGAAGCCCACAAGCAAGCAAGACCTGAGCAGAAGAGTCCTCTCCTCTCCTGTGGTTTCCAGCCACTGGCATTTAAAAGCACAGTGTGCTCTTGTGCTCATGTACTGCTCACTGATTTCTCACTGGCATCTGGTTGGCCATTATGAGAACAGGATGCTGGACTAGATGGGACAGGCCTAGTCCCAATAATCCAATAATCATTTCAATGATCTGCATAATCATTTTGAGCCTGAGGACCAGCTTCCCTTACTGACAACCTTCTGGGGATCGCAACATGGTGGTGGTGAAGGTCAGATGCAAAAGTGGGCAGACCTTTTAGGTCTCCAAATTCCACAAAAGTACTTTTATTACTTGGAAAGCAGATTCAAGATGTTATGGAAATATTAATCAACTAAAATGGAATGAAAGTCTGCTATATGTATCTTTTGCTATATCTTAAAAATGCCATTAAGAAAACAAGAGAGATGGGGAATGATTGTCTAGGTGCAATTTGTTTTAAAGAGTTCTATGCTACCTTGAGCTCTAAAACAGATGTTATAGAGACCCCCACTGTTTCTCATTAACAATGACAGCCCTTTCACAAGCTTAGAATTAATATTCGTAGCATTCACTCTTAGTGCTAATTACAGCTAATATTTAATTAAGAGCAGTGAGCTTTGGTACAATTTCTTTACTGGTGGCTTCCAACTTATTTCACTCCAAAGGCAACATTAAGCAAAACTCCCACCCCTTTGCAATAATAATAATAAAAATGTCATTCATTCCTGATCTTTCTGTATCTATGTCCAGATGGGCAGGACTTTGGTGCCCATGCTCAGCAGAGTGAGCAGCGGGACTCAAAATCCAGGAGGGCTGCCTTAGCACACTTTGAAGCAAAAATAATAGAATCATAGAATTGTAGAGCTGGAAGGGACTGCAAGGGCCATCTAGTCCAACCCCCTGCAATGCAGGAATCTTCTGCCCAATGTGTCGTTCGAACCCATGACTGAGTTGAAGAGTCTCACACTCTACCAACTAAGCTATTCCAAGAGACATAATGCACACTGCTGTCTAAGAGAAAGTTCCCAAGAATACCACTAAGTTAGGATTCTAAAGCAAACCAGTAGATTTCCTGGGGTGTGTGTATGTCTAAATAGGCATTACTTGATCGAATCTTGCAAGGTTTGTTCGTCTGTCCATTTTAAAAAAAAATATCCTCCCAGCAAAACCCTAACTACATTTCCTCAAAATTAGGGATGGAAGCATCTGTAAATTTTGGTTCTCTCATTTCCCAATGTTAAATACAGCTCTCCACATTTCTGAAGCAATTTGCATTTAAAACAACAACTACCTAATCCAGATGAAAGAAATATTAGAATTTTAGTGTGGATTTTCCCAATAAACACATTTTCACATACAGTTTTGAATAATGCAGACTCAGAGAGAGAAATCCTGCTAACACTGAGTGCAAACTGAGCAAAAAATTAAAAATGATTGAAAACTGTTCATCATTTGATAAGAAAAAGTTTTGTCATTTCTTTCCTCAGGCCTTGTACATACAGCAAAAATACATTCAATGATACATACAGAGGGAAAACTCTCTCAGAACTGCACAGTTAATCCGAGCATATGTTCCCTCAGCAAAGTTCATGCCACTCTGCCTGGTTGCTAACCAACACCTCCACCCAGCACCCTCTTAGCTAGTTGACATACACTTATAACAGAATTAAACCTTAAATTACAGTCTGTGTATCCCTGATGATATACTTCCAACTGCTTGGTCCCAGACATTGGTCAGAGGACCAACAGCTGCTGGAACACTGCAGAGGCTTATTTGACCCAGCTTCTGCCAAGCAAGTTGTGTTTCCTTGCAGTTTAGAGGCAAGAACAAAACTTGGCCTGGAAGTGTTGCTAGAAGCCAGGCCTTGTCACATGACTGTTTCATCTCCCGATTTGTAGACTCCTTGCTCTCTTCTTTGGTCCAAGTTTGGTGGTGCAACACAACTGAAGCAGTAGGGAATCACTGCCTGCTATTCATTGGTTTGCAGATTCATGATCTGCTTTGGGTTTGAGATCTGACATGATTTCAGCAGCGATCAGATAAAAGCTTCCAGAGGCACTCCTTCCAGTTAGTTCATTGTAAAGTGTTTTGCTACCCAGGGACATATCATTCCACACTTTCATTGATGCTCAGTTACCTCTCACAAAATTGGGAGCATGAAATCAGGCAGCACATAAACTGAGAGGCCTCAGCCTAAAGTCAATTGGAGGCCCTTTGAGGTCTGAGGAAACAGGTTGACTAAAAGGCCTTGACCTGTTTCCAGGAACACTTATCAACTGCAGCCTGAGAGAGCCAAACTTAGAAATCTCAACCTGAGGGGAAACTGGTCCCTTTAAAGGCCAGTCTGTGAAAAAGCAAAATAGCAAAGCTCAGTTTCTGCTCAGATATCCAACATTTAACGTCATGTGCTTAGGGTTGCCAAGTTATCAGTTTCAGACATGCACCTCAAGCCTATATTTAGGAAATAAAGTTTGATCTCAGAGCTTTTGACTAGCTCCAAATTGCTATCAGTGTAGAATTCACCATTATGTAGTTTAGTCATTAGGTGGCACTTGGCTTAGTTGACTCTGGATGGAGTAAGGAGTTTTCTGTTGGGTGTTCTGCTGGTATCTATCTTCGCCCACAGTTAAGTCCTCCGCAGCCCCACTACCACGCTTATCCACACTTCCTCTCCTCTTTACAGGCATGGCCTGCGATTTAACTGTCTGAGCACTTTTTTTTTTTTTTTTTTTTTTGCTCCAGAGCTTTCCCTGCGAAAACCCGAATTGATATTTGCTCTGATTCAACTTTAAAGAGCAGGTTTTTGAAGGGAAAGCTTGGGCAGGGGAAGAAGCTTGGATATGGAGTGTTAAAGCGCAGACCTCTGTCTGGAAAGAGCGGGACAAGAGGTAAGTGTGGATAAGCCTTCAGAAATGCCTGTTCCTGCAGAGTCTGGAATGTCATTGACTTCTAGGAACCAGACATATTTCTACATCAGGGTCTCCAAGTGGTACTTCCCAGGTGTTGCTGGGCTACAACTCTTATTGTCCTTGACCACTGGTCATGCCGGCAGGGGCCGATGGGAATTGTAATTCAAGACATCTGGAGGGTACCAGATTGGGGAAGGCTACCTTAGGATAGGGATGTGGGTGGCGCTGTGGGTTAAACCACAGAGCCTAGGACTTGCCGATCAGAAGGTCAGTGGTTCGAATCCCTGCAACGGGGTGAGCTCCTGTTGCTCGGTCCCTGTTCCTGCCAACCTAGCAGTTCAAAAGCACGTCAAAGTGCAAGTAGATAAATAGGTACCGCTCTGGCGGGAAGGTAAACAGTGTGTTCTGTGCGCGCTGCTCTGGTTCGCCAGAAGCTGCTTAGTCATGCTGGCCACATGACCCGGAAGCTCTACGCCGGCTCCCTCGGCCGATAGAGCGAGATGAGCGCCGCAACCCAAGTCGGCCACCACTGGACCTAATGGTCATGGGTCCCTTTACCTTTACCTTAGGATAAGGAAGCAAGAGCACCAAATAATTTTCACCTCCAGTGTCTCTCAGTATTTGTAAACCTGTGCATGGCATGGCTCAGCAACATAGTAGCTGGCAAGCTTGTTTGCATGTATATGTTTTAAGGAAGAGCCGAAAGTCATTGGCCTGTGCATGGGCCTGAAATTTAATGAAATCCACATTTCAACTCCGAAAGGTGCTTTACATGCCAGAGTATAAAATGCAGCTTATTGCTTTCTGTTTATATGCTGAACTCTCTTAAGCAGAGAAAGAGAAAATAGAGTCTACATCATGTAGAGGCACAAGCTTTTCTAGAGACACTCCAGATTGTTAAGTTTTTTAAAAACAACAACAAAACACCACTGTTTTAGATGTTCAGTACAGAATATCTCACATCTTCCTGTTTAATTTTTTCCCTTCACAGCAGCATTTCATCTGTTGCATAAAGCTTTTATAATTAAGAAATTGCATGATAAGTGTCAAAACATAAGGAGTAACCCTGTTATGTGTTTGAACACAAATGAAAGCAGGAGAAATGTTACTTGTGCAATGTTCATCTTTTGTGTAAGCATACATTTGCAGAACGATACTGTATTTATTCATTCCTTTGGTGGAGGGGCAAAGGAAGAGAACACACACACACACACACACTTCTTTCCACCACTGCTCACATTTTAAAACTCTCTCTTGCTGTTTTATTCTTTGCTTTTATTTGATTTTGCCCCCTTTTCTTTTCTTTCTTGTGTTCTGCCTCTTTGGCGGCAGATATTTCACATTCTCAGGGAAAGCTGTTTTCACACTGTAGTTAAATGAGGCAAACTGCATCATAGCCTCAGGGTATGGAAACAAAGGAGTGATATGCAAGAGAGAGAGAGAGAGAGAGAGGTGGGGAGACAGAGAGAGAACCCCACCACACACTGCTGCCACACACATATTAAAGTAGTCTGTTAACCTGTTGTCTGGAAGACTAGCTCTTTCAGACAGATCAATTCAACCAAGAGACATAACAGCATGTGTAATCTTACCTTCTTAATGATTAACTAGCCAAATATATATAATGAACACAAAATGT